GAATTCCTGGAGCTGATAAAGATATTCTCGTCTTTTGTCAAGATGAAGAAGCTGGAACAATAAATAAAAATGAGAGAAGTATAGACTACACGCACTTAATGTGAATGAATGGAATATGAACAAGGTATTTATCATAAAATACCTACTTTGATTCAACAATCACCCTTTGATATATAACAGTATAATGTTTGTATAACATTTTGGGTAAAATTTTGCTGTGACTTGCAAAGAAGTCAGGAGTTAAGGAGATATTAAAAGAGTTAAGGAGATATTATTAAACAAAATGTTATGCTGTATATATTTTAATAAAAAAAGAGTAGGCATTTGGTTGGACTACCATAAGGAATTTTGAAATCTATAAGTACAGGTCTGCTCAGGGAAAACAATTGGATGGTAGGCATATTATGGTCCAAAGTGAAAAAAATAAATGTACCTTTAGAAAATCATGTAAGTGTTTAAGGACACCTATCCTGACTTCATCTAGGTCCTTTAAAAACCCGTTGAAGACTGGAACCAAGTCTCCAGCTGTGAGTTGGTCTCCCAAGATAACTGCAAGCTCATGTATAGAGAAAGCTAATGTCCTTCGAACTTTCCACTGCAAAAAAATACCAAAAATGCATTTATTAATCAAACATCCCAAAACAATAGTAGTTTTAACATTAGTTTTCTTGAGTTGTCCAACATTAATATTAGAATCCTCCCTACAACCACTTACTTCAATCCTTTGTTTCAATAAAAAAATTTTTTTTTGGCCTTTGAAAAAATTAAGATATAAATGGGATTGTTAAAGGATCATTTGTTCCATGTGCATATCCAGGAACTGAACAAATAAAAAAAATTGTGTCTTTAATCAAGAGAAGCAAAACAAAAATGTTGGATAACATTTTTGCAGTCTTTTTGCTTCAATTTTTCTTATGCATATTGAAATTTATAGGTCTTGTTCTCTAACTTCTGTAACCTAAACCTTACAAAGCAGCTGAAGAAAGAAGATACTCTGCCATACTTTGATTAAAAAATGTAGTAACTCTCTGAGGTTTAGAGACTTTCCACTTAGGAAAGCCAACATCTGACATCTACCCACATTAACAAATATTTTGTTCCACCAAATGCCTTGACACAAGCATTGATCCAATTAAGATGCATTTTGTTTCTACGTTGTCTTATTTTGCAGGTGGGCAGAGTAGGAAACATGATACATTGTTCTAATGTAAATGCATTTTCAATTATGTAAAAAATAAGTATTGGTATTTAACCCTATCCCTCCTTCTCTGACCAGCATTTTCCAACTACCAAATGATATCTTTGCACACGTAAACCTATTTTAGTCTTGCAGTTCTCTCACTCGTTAATCTTGTGGCATACTCTCAAAATAACAAAATATATAGAAAACTTAGCAGTGTTATTTTATTTTTTTTAGTTTCTTTACTGATCACTTATGTGCATCCTACCTTATTATAAAGCACTTAGACAAATGTAGTTTATTAAAAATCCTGTTATCCCAAATCCCTCCTTGTTCCCCAGCATGGCATACATGAACTCTACGCACTGTGACTGGGGACAAGGAAGGGATTTGGATGATATGGAGCTTTGGATAACAGAATTTTTAATAAACTTTACAGTAAGCGGGGGGACGGACAGACACGGATGGACGACGACACAAGTGATCAGTAAAGAAACTAAAATAAGTTTGCTATGCATTTTAAAGTTATTTTGAGAGTCTGCCACAAAAATGTGAGAGAAAACTGCATGACTAAAATATGATTTTAGTTTGGACAATAGAGCAGAGATCTGTCAGGACTATGAGCAGAATGACAAACCTCTAGCCACAGGGGAGGCTACCCCACTACTTAATGGCTCCAGACTTCTTGATTATTCAAATAATCAAGTATCCAAATACCACCCCATTCCCCCACCCCCATTATTTGGAAAAATTAGAATACACTGTATAAATACAATGTGCATGTCAGTAAGTTTTTGCTCTGATACATCAGTGACTAACTTTATTAGGTGGATGAAGGAGGACTACTCAAAAAAGGGTGAGTGTCTTTGAAAAAGAACTTGGTTTCTTATCTACCATAAGGTGAAAAGCTCAGCAACATTTGTGCATTTATTCTAGCCACTTATATAGTACCCGTGACCATATCTGAGCACCTCACCACATGATGTCCAGGATTTGTTCTGGGACACTGCTAAAATTATTAATTGGACGAAGAGCATTACCTACTAAATAACCAACACCAGTGACAGGATATTTGAAAACTATTAATTAAAAATGCCCATTGTACAGAAACAGTTAAAGTTTATATGAAATTTGTTTTCAAAGCTGCTTGAGTTTAAATGCTTTAACATACCTGCATGTCAGATGCTAGTGTCTCATAGGTATCTTTCAAACAGTGCCAGTTCTGTCTACCTAAGGTAAGTGCCACACCTGGAAGGCTATATGCACAATGTTTAGCAATCTCAGTATCAACCGTTTGTGCACGAGAAGGATCAGTCATGGATAAATACTGATCCAACAAGGCTTGAGGTACAACATCCTAGAGAGATAAGACTTAATTTGCCACGTTTTCAAGTAACTTCCATACTGTACAAAACTTAGTTACATATTAAGAGAATTCTCACATAATAAACAACAAAAAATACTTAAAGATTAAGCATATAAATAATTAATAAAAGTACCATATATAAAAATGAGATTAACTTCAGTAGTTTAAAGTTTGTATTTTAAGAAAATATTAATGTTATGTATTTATATTGCTTAAGTAAATTATAATTGAGAAGATATTATTAGTCTTTGTAAATACCCAGATTGAAGTAACAAGGATGAATGGGTGGATTAGTGTATGGTCTACACTGCTCACATTACATTGCTGCCACCACAACCCTCTTATATGGGAAGCATGGTCACATTTTATTGTTGGGGTAAAACTCTCGACAAAAAAAAAGCAAACAAACAAAAAAACAAAAACAAATGAGGAATATGAGGAATGCTCAAGCTTTCTTGCTGGGAGCATGACTCCCAGAGATAGGTGCTGTCTACAGTGGCACTTTTCAGCTCTAGATCTTTTGTCACTCTCTGGATATTTTTCACACCCCTGAATGACTGACTATGTGTTGAGCATTGAAAATGGCAGCGTAGACTAAGAATGTAATTGACTAGTCAACTATCCAATAAGCAAGTGCTAATCAGATAGTCAAACCTGACTAGTCGCTTCTCTTCCCCGTCCCCCAGCCCTTGTTGCCTCTGTCAGAGAGGGGCAGCAAGGGGAGGAGCCGTCTTAGAAGCTGGTTCTCCCCAGCACCACCTCCATGGGGAATGGGGGCAGGGATGCAGCAGGGAACTGGCTGTGCTTCCACCTTCTGAATATAGCAAGAGCAGGGCTCTTGTTACATTTCAAATGCAGAAGCTGCACAGGAGCAGGGGGCGAACAGGGGACTGAAGCCCGGAGAGGGCTCTTGTACATTTCAAAAGCAGGGAGTACAGGGCCAACCGGGGACTGCTTGAGACCCCACAGGACCTGTGCCCCCAGTGGTGCTTCCACCTTTGAAATGTAGCAAGAGCAGGGAAGGGCTCTTGCTACAAAGGCAGAGGTGCCTGTATTGACTAATTAAATACTCGATGCAAACTGCATCAACTATTCAATTAGTTCAATAATCTAAATTTAACATTCTTAGTGTAGACAGACTTAGACTTCTTAATACTGCTTAGCTCTTTCACAAACATTAAAGACTTAATATCCTGTGAGACTGGCAAACTTTATGCCTGTTTAACAAATACATAAAATACATAAAAGTGACTAGTGTTGGTCAGAACATGTTTTTCCCCCACCCCGCAGAAAATTTTTACCTTTTGGCAAAAAATGAAAACTAAATTGAAATGTTTCATTTTGGCTCAGTTCAGTATTAAATTGTGTCGGCCTGAGCTTTTGAAGTGCCTCAAAGGAATAGCAGTTTGGGTGCCACATTCTTCTCCCTTATGTACTAGGCTCCTTGGTTGGAACTACTTCTCCCAAGATACTCCACAGTGACCCTCTTGTTGAGCTGTTGCCATGCCTCATGGGACAGGAAGTCTGTCTGGGAGTGCCCAGCCCACAGAGAAGTATGAGCGAATGAGGTATCACAATACAACTCTCATCAGGCATCAAAGTGGCTCAGGAGGATATAGTTTAACATCAAATTAAGACCAAATAGTTCTATTTGGTATCAAATCTAAATCTGTTCCTCCCTCCCCCCCCCTGCTGAAGTCAAAGTTTTCAATGTACAACACGATTTTTGTGCAACATTCTACTTAATAGAAAACCTCGGTTTTTGTTCAAAAACAATTTTAATGAAAAATTTTCAACTGGCTCTGTAAATAAATCACTGTAAATAAATCACAGCAAGTCAGTGGGAGAGGACAAAATAAAATAAATATCTTTGGAGCCTGACTAATAGCTGTACTGTCAAAACTACCCTACAAAGAATGAAATGGTCAATTACAGCAAAACAAACTGCCAATGTAGCCATCAAGGCTGGATTATACAGTGACCAACTACTGATGCTTTCAACATCTTCTGAAAATTACCAAAGGAGGGTGGGTCAATGGATTACATAACTAAAGGTGAATCTTCCATTCAATTTAATCAGAATTACAAGGGAAAATATTCTCATTTACCTGTACTTTGGACTTTCTTTCCTCTTCAGGGCTGAAACTACTATTGGTGCTCAAGTCTGAATCATTATGAATATAGCGGAGAGTGGAATCTATGTTCTGCACGTGGAGGGGGAAAGGTCACTTACAAAATGGGACATTCAAGGATTAAACAAACATACACATACAACTTAAATGCCATGAAAGGTTGCCTCACATTGTAGGTATTTTCTTTAAGATTCTTGACATGTATTTTTATTTACAACATATTTTTCCTATAGCTCAAGTTAACATAAAAAAATTAAATTTATCTTTGAGAATTCATGGGGAATGGGTGTGGTCCCAGGACTAGAGAAGGGTACAGGGGAACAAAGAGGATCCGAGGAAGTGTTCCCATGTGCAGAATGACTTTCATTATGTGCACCAACATGGAAGTGATATATCACATAACCAAAGTCATTTTGCACACCAACAATCTGTGGTGGGGTGGCACCGAGGGGTTGGGATGCAGGAGGGTGGGGTGCCTCAGGCCTCGGGCAGAAGATTGAGGTGCAGAGTGTGGGGGTGAGGAGGCTCAGGTTCTAGGCTATCCCAGGGCACGAGGACTCTCTCAGCACTCTCACAAGAGCAAGTTGGGGCCAGGTCTCTCCACAGCCCAGGGAGGGATCCTTGTCCCCCAGCCAGGGCAGGTCCAGGCTAGGCTGGGTGGGGACTAGGAAAGGGGTACCTGTACTCCTACAGATCTGGGACAGTTTCAGGTTTGGCACTGTGGCCAGAGGGAGAGGCGCACACTCCCCAAGACCCAGCACAGAGCTGCTATGGCTAGAGAGAGGCAGCACTCTGGGCAGTCTCCCTGAGCCCTTGCACTTGGGCTTGTTAGGCAGCTGCAGGACAGGTGGCCAAGCAGGTTAAAGGAAACTTAGCCAGGGAATTATAGACCACTCACTGTAATGCTGATAACAGGAAAGTCACTGGAAAAAACTATTAAACAATGTGTAAGCACCTAGATCATAATACAGCCGTAAGGTAACAACGTGCATGGATCTGTCATGAACAAATCATGCCAAACTAACCTAACTTCCTGCTTTGACAAGGTTATGGACCAAGTGGATGTGACACATCTTGTCTTAAAGAAGGCTTTTGACACAGTCCCATATGACATTCTCCTAAACAAGCTACAGAATTGTGGTAATAGATGAAATTACTCTAAAGTGGGTGAGACAGAGCACCCTTTGCAAAGGGGTCCCTTTGCTCTTAGCAATCACTCATGTCAGACCTGACAAACTCACCACACCAAACATGTCTTACAGGATATTTATCTATAAAGAGTAACATGTAAGTTGTCTTTTGCAGACATGACTTGTCAAGATTCATAATCATTAAGAGATGTATATATCGGTAATATTTAAGGACTAATATAGTTATATTTAAAAGTATGTTATATAGACTTGAAGTAGACATTAGTCACCAGGAAATCATGTGTTTTGGTGACGAAGGAGACAAGGAGAAATTGTCAACCCCACCCTGGCAGGCTGCGGATACAACGCCAGGCTTATTAGGGAGGGGGAACCAAGGGGCTCCCATCCTGTCCTAGCTCCATCCATCAATTCCCAGGAAGAGCAGGCAAGCTTTCTTAACTTGCCCACTCATGGGGACACTAACCATTTCTTGCCCTTTTACGCTCTTGGAGGATTATGTTTTCTTGGTACATAAACCTGAGTGGGTTTTCCTAGGTAAGGTTTATCAGGGCACCAATACCTACGGCAAGGGGCAGAGAACACCTGATGGCATTCCCCACCCCCAATATTTTGACAGGGGTACCATTTTTAGGCACTCTTCACAACATAACTTCATTTTACAAAGGTAAGAACTTGAATAAAAGCTTGTAAGATAGGTCAATAGCTAGGTCATGGTGGCATCTCTAAGATTTTGGAATGAGAGCAGTCTGCATATTTCCCATCAAACAATCCAAATTTTTTAAAAACGCAGATTTTACCAAAAAATCAAATACAAATATATGTAAGGTGCTTCTTAACACAGTGAACCATGTTAACTATAGCAGGTGAATGGCAACAGAGTATAATCTGAAAACTATTCATAGTGCAAACTGGCAAGCAACAATCCATGAAGGTTGCATCAAGATTTTATTCTTCTTCTATAGCACTAGACTTTCAAAGACCATCAGACTTGTGCCTTCAAGTGAAGTAGTCACAAGATTTCTGCCACAACACACAATGAAGAACATGACACCTGTACTAAACGCTGCTTTGACTGGATGGTGGTGGTGGTGGTGGTAAAATGGGAAGAAGAGCCATACATAAAAGCTCAAAATGATATTGAGTAGTACTACCCGCCCTCATTCTCTGGAGTCCAGATATTGCCAGAGGTCTAGTGCAACATATCCCGATTGTCTCCTGGTCAGAAAAGTGTGTTGCCTGCTACAGCAAAATGTTTCCACCATAAAGAGAATGCATCTCTCTCGCCAAGCAAAAAAAAAAAAAAAAAAGAGTTAACTTCTTTTAAAAAGGGCTTTGTTTCCAGTAAGGCTATTTCACTGCAGCAAAGCCAATGAAAGTGACAGTTAGGATTGAGGTTTAACTTCAAGTACTCAAATGATTCAGATCATTGGGAGAATAAACTTTACTTAATGCAACAGGCAGAAGTGCAAAAATCAGCAAACATTTCTGCCTGAAATGAGAACAGTTTAGCTATGTTTTCTCCAGAAGTACAAAATACATATTACCGTAGCCCTGTACTGCAGAATTAAATAATGTGTATGCCAAACACAGCCACATCTCTTACCTCAACCGTGTCGCTAATTAAAGGCACAGTATCATCCTGAATTAGTTTATAATTTAGTTGGTCTTTGATGCTCGGTTCATTTTGTGAGTCTATTCCCTTGCCTGCCATCATCTCCTCCTGAGAGTCCAAACTGGAGGCTCGCAGTGCAGCAGACAACACCTCCACTTGTGCTGTATGCAAAGTGAAACACATGAATAAAATTGGAAAGTTACACAGCACAAAATTACTAATAGGAACTACTTTTGAAAAATATTTTTTAATTTAAGGAATACCTAAATAGGTAAAATGAACATTTCTTACTCAGATTATCAATGATTAGTAAGTCCTGCAATAGAAGAAACCAGTGAGGATGAAAGGTTTGGTAGTCCTCACACTGGCTGCCATTGCCTCAGAAATCCAGAACTAAGGGAGTAACTGTCTGAGAGGCAGGAAAACTAAGAGTGATAAGCTGCTTAGGAAACAGTATCTTTAAAGAATAATCTTTTACAAAAAATTGACAAACCACTTATGTTGAGGCTGGGTAAATAAACAGTTGTGCACAATCTTCCGCATCAGCTTACTGGCAACCATTGTTAAAAGAACACAGCAAGGAAAGGGTGGGAAAACGTTGGACTCTCGTTTTTTAAATACAATTGAAAACTGGACTTTTCAGTTTTTAAAGACCAGAAGAAAGTAATTTTAGGGACTGAATAAACAGGAGTTCCAAAAGTGCATTTAGCTGCATTCCTGTAAAGCCATGTGGAGAGCAGGGCTGCTAATTGTTCCAACAGAGAATATAAGATAGGTCTGGGATCCTGGAAAATACATTTTCAGATGCTCCCACGCTGCAAATTGCCAGAAGGTTGACTGGACCCATTATGCTGAACTAATTCTAAACAAAGCAACTCTTCTGGAAATGCAGACACAGCATATCAGAGAGTAGGTTACTCAGTGCAATTGCATGTCTCAGGACTTAGACATTTTTGATAATATCCTGAAAACAGATAAAAATGAAATCTGAGGTTCCACTCCACCTGGTCCTTCTTGCCACTCTTCTTTCCACCACAGATTAATAAATTCTGGCTCTCTCATACTTTCCCAATCTTGTTGTTAAATTCTGGCTCTCCTCCTCCTCTAAATGAAGCTAATTACAACTGCAAAGAAAACTACTGGGCCCTCTATTTCTTTGAACAGCCTCTTGAGGACTGTAAGACTCCTGGGTACACAGGAGGTGCTTGGCCTCACAGCAAAACTTTTCCATATTGTCATTTGGCTCCTCATTCCCCTTCTCTTGAAGTGAAGCCAGTACTATTTCGTATTTCCCTTCTTTTCTCCTTCCCTTCCTAAGAAAGTTGCAGCACCTGCCATTCTGCTTTCTGCCTATCACGGGCTAGGCAAGATGGGCTCTGGGGGCCAGATCCGGCCCACCTAACACTTTGACCCAGCCCGCGGACTGCATCTGGCCTCTTTCTATTTATATCCTGCCCTTACCACCAAACTTCCAGGCAATGGCTCAGGCAGCAGGATTCTATTTAAATGGCTCCCAGCTTCCAGTCGTGGTGCTATCCTGGCTGGCTGCCAGGCAATGCGGTAGCAGCAGGGCCAGGAGCCACAAGCTCTTTGCTGTGTTTTTAATTCAAAGCCTCCAGCCCTGGGACAACTCTGAGGTGAAGCTAGTGCCCAGCACCTTCCATGGAATTGGCCCATGACCACTTACCAAAATTCATTACATGGCCCTGCTGCAAAAATTATTGCTCGCACCCAGCTTATCACTTTCCCTTCCTGGAAAAAACAAGTGGCTCAGGGAGTGCTCTACTCTGCCTTCCACATCCACTTCCCAGAAGCGATTGGGTCGCTCTTTTCCTCCCTTCCAGGGAAGAAGCAAGTGGCTCTCTGGTCCAAATCAGCCTACCTGCATGAGTTACAACTGTATTGAACCTTTTTTCAAGGCCTCTGCAATACTATAAAAACAAGGAATAATCCTGTGGCACCTCAGAGACTAACAAAATATATAGCACCTGGAGAAATGGGTTTTGTCTACAAAAGCTCAGATACTATATATTTGTTAGTCTCTAAGGGTATGTCTACACTTGCACCCTAGTTCGAACTAGGGATGCAAATGCAAGCATTTGAAATAGTCAATGAAGCGGGGATTTAAATATCCCGGGCTTCATTAGCATGATCTCACTGGCGCATTACTCCGATCAGCAGCTGTTCCAAAAGTGAAAGTGCACGCAGGGACGCGTTAGTTCGAGCCAACCCCCTTGGTCATTTTTTGAGGAGTAACGTTAGTTTGAACCAAGGGGTTTGGTTCGAACTAACACGTCCCGGCATGCACTTTCGCTTTCGGAACAGCTGTTGGTCGGAGTAAAGCTCCGGTGAGATCATGCTAATGAAGCCTGGGATATTTAAATCCCCGCTTCACTGACTATTTCGAATGCCTGCATTTGCATCCCTAGTTCAAACTAGAGTGCAAGTGTAGACATACCCTAAGGAGCCACAGGACTACTTGTTTTTAAAGTTACAGACTAACACACTACCCCTCAGACTTTTAAACATGCAAGGCTCTGCAATACTTCGTACACATTCTGAAATTAAACAATTGCATCTGTTTTTATCATCCACCTCACTCTACCTCCCATCCTGGATTGTTAATTGTCACCTTTATTCGTGCATATACATTTACTCATAAGGTCACCAGAGTTTATCAAAAGCCAGATTAATTTGTATAACACACCTAACTTTTCTTTTCTTTCAATTACTGTTACATAAAGCAGAATTACAACTCAACACAATATTAAACACTGTGCACAAAGTTAGACAACTGAAACACATACAATGGTGTTAGATGGGAAAGTAACACCAATTATGAAGGCCAAACATGAAATGCTGTCTTCTACCTCTGGGATGGCCTTTAGATGGGGGTAAGAACAGCTGGAGAATATGAAGAGAGATTTGGTTATTATGTAGCATGGCCAGTTCTGTAACTGACAAGCATCTAATAAAATACCTGAAAGAAAAGAGTTTAAAGTAGGATTGTAATAATCTATATTATCAGGGAAGTCTACTGCAAATTACTAAGTAAGCCAAAAAGTACTAATATTGTATCATGAAATGCATCAGGCTCAATAGAAACTATAAGTTGGTTTTAATACCATCTTTCATATAACACTATTAAATTCTCTTTAGTAAACTTCGTCAAGATCTCATTAATTTTACAATTAGAGACCCAACAGAAGCATTCAGCCGTTTCTTCTTTACTGAGAAGTGATGGAAAGACCCCCATTTTAAATACACAAATAATAGATACATGGACAAGCAAAATGAATTATTTGAGTTTTTGCTATAAATTAAAACAAGCAAGTGATGATTACCGCCTACCAGACTATTTGGGCATGAAATGTTATTCCCGATGTTCAGAAGAGTTAATTCTTATGAGGCTAAAAACCTGAACAATTCAACTGAACTTTATCCCAAAGCACAATTAGGAAAACTTATCTTTTCTCTTCTCCCTCCAAACACAAGCAAACATGGGCCTTTCATTTTCAGTTAAAATGAAAGATTAGGAGACTTTTTCTAAATAGACAATGTATACAGAAGCATGACACTTCAAAAATGTGTGTATTCACAGAAAAATACATGAAAAACAGAAAAATAAGGTTCTGCACAGCAGCACATCTTTTCTTTTTATTTTCTGTAGTTTATTTTTTCTGCTTCCCTTATTTATACTCTTTAGTGCATTATTAGTAGGCAAAAAATGCTCTTTGATTGTTTTATGTGCTACAATGGTGCAAGTCTGTATTAGAAAAAAAAATCTATCCTGAAATACCTAGTAGAAACGTGAAGTTCCTTTGAGATTGCTCTAATGATAAAACACAAACAAGATTTCCGCCCCCAACTTTAACTAACTGATATTTATTTATTACAGATTGATATAGTACAGACAAACATACTTAATGATGACATATTTTCCATTATAAGCCCCTATATTCTGGTGCTTAGAGCGCTGCCAAATTATCTGCTGGGTGCTGAAATTTTCTTTGCCAGATATCAGCCTCAAAATGAAGTTCCTGGGTAAGTTTTAACTAAAATGGTTCAACTGATAGGATGGTTCCAGAGTTGCTCTCGAAGCTTTTAAAATGGTTCAATCATTTCTGAGAATAAGGTTATGAGAAAATGTTCTTTTGCCCATACTAAAATACAATTCTGTCAACCATTTTCTTGATACATTCTAGTTCCGTGGTGTCCAACCAGTTCTGAAGCAGTTCCTACTATAGTGGCTAATGCTATAGCGAACTAGCCACACTCAACAAGCCAAATAGCTTGTGACTAGCATGTTGGAAACCATGGATTTAGCTCCTCCATGTTTTCGAGCAGGGACTTGAAATTTGGCAGAGTGACCGGTCTAGAGATAAGTATACACCTTTTTGTAGTCTAGGGATAGAAGTGACTAGTCGACTATCTGATAAGCAAAAACGTATCGTATAGTTGACTAGTCCCTCGACTAGTTGCTTCCCAAACCCTTGCTGCCTCTATCAGAAATTGAGCAATTGAGACAGCATTAGGAGGTACACAGATGCAGAGGGTGACAATGACAGGCTGGGGGTACAGAAACAGAATGGTCTACAACCACTATAAATGTTCCCCTATAAATGAATGGAATTGAAATCAGGTGTCCTACATTTTTATATTCCTCTGTTGTGAACAGGTGTTAAACCTACTGGCAAAGTGAATTTCTGAATTATTTTTTTAGAAAGCTTCATTCAAAAGGTTAAAAATTAAAACCTCCACAGCAAAACACAAAAACACTTCTAGATACTTGAAATACACAAATATCTTCACTATACCTTTAACATCAGGATCATCAATATGAGGTTCTAGATTTTCTATCATTTCTTCCAGCTCCTTCCTTGTGGCCATAGTAATGTTTGAAGAAGATGGCACGGTCACGTCTTTTGTTCCTTCCTGAATTTCTGAGTTGGGCATTATCTGATCAGTTTGCTGAAGCTCTAAATCAATGTCTATTTCAGGAAGTGGAGTCCTCCAGAAATGGAAAGAGTTGTATAATTCCTGTTCTGAGAGGGAGGTGTCCTGGGGCCTCAACCTAGACGCCTGAAGCGTTGCTATACTACAAAAGCTAGAATTTTGCTCATTCTCCTTAGCCATTTCCCCATAAGATTCTGAAGACAAAGTGCAACATAAAAACATCTCAGCCTGGTAATCAATTTCACTCTGAGATTTACTTGGCACAGAGTTATCCTCTTCTATGGTGTTTTCAAGTTTTATTGTAATACCACTAATATCAGTATCTGAAGGCGGCTTCTCTGTCCTGTTATGTAAATTCTCTGTTGTGACATCTTCTGTATCCCTCATCTTTTCACTGTTGGGTGTCAAAGAAAATGGGCATGAGTTTAAAAACAATCCAACATACCGGTTATAAACTTAGACAATTATGCAAGTACACGGTCATGTTCTTATTTTGATGTTCACAGAATTATTTGTATGTACTCTAAATAACTTATCTAAAGAGGGCTGGCCAATTTTCAGCAAAAGTTACGGTGTCTTCCCTACTTATGTGTGTAACCAAATTAAAAGAATAATAAAAGTTCCTTAAGCAGCAATTGATATGCAGGAAAAAATGAAAATTACAAAACCAAGAAAATCCATACCTATTTTCCTCTGCAGATTTATGATCTTCGGCATTCTTACTTTCTTCTTCTTTAAAAAAGTGGCCACTGCTGGATGGGTTAGCAAAAGTTGATATGAAAGGCCCCAGAGACTGAAAGGCAGCTTGGCGGACCTAGAGTAAATAATTGGCAGGTTTCAGAGAAAATAATTTAAATACAGCTGTTGTACAAATACACCACCAGCTGTCTGGAATGGGAAGAGTTGTAAGGGCCTTGGGAAAGCGACAGGGGAGTCTTGTATCTGGGAACAATGCCAACAAGCTGGATATGGGAAAGTGCCAAGCAAAGAGCCCTGTGTGGAGAAAGATTGGGGTGAGATGTGAAATACAGCAGGTAGGCATAGTGGTAGATTCACAGATAATTATATAAATCTTCATATCACCTTCCCTCTCCCACATAGTTTCAATATTTAAAGTGGGTAAATCTAAACACCAACCAAGTGGAGGACCCAAGTGATTGGAAAAAACTAATTTAGTGGAAACATTACCACTCAATTATTCATGGTCATGAATTTAAATTGACTCAATAAGAACCACAATCTTTAATTTCTTTGCCTTTCCCACTTATTTACATTTTATCCTTCCCTTGCTCCTACGGTGTCCATTTACTTCTGGTGAGCCTCTCTCCCCCATTTTTATTTCTTCTTTCATTGTACCCGATTATGGCTCACTTGCCTTCTCCGAGCCAAAGAGATGGTGCTCTTAGGCACTGAAGCTTCCTTTTGGCATGAGAAAGAATTCCTCTGTTGACAACCCTAACACAGGTTTGAAGGATGGATTTTCAAGATGGGGTAAAAATAAATGTGAAGCATGGAGAAAAAAATCTCAGTAAGTTACATTTAATTACATCTGCAATTTTCTCATGTGCCTGGTTATAAATAGACTTTTGACAACAGCAGGGAAGCCTGCAGCTCCACATGCTTTGTCTCAATGGAAGGGTTCAGTACCTTTTACGGGGATATGTAAAACTGCCTTCCTCCAGTCAGCAAAACCACTATTACAGGCAGTCCCCGAGTTACGCGGATCCGACTTATGTCGGATCCGCAGTTACGAACGGGGATTTTCTCGCCCCGGAGGACTGGAGACAGGAGGCCTGGTCCCGCCGCCCGCCTCCTCCGGGGCGAGAAAAGCTGCTCCCCGTCTCCCTGGTCTGCTGGGGGAGCCAGCAGACCAGGGAGACGGGGAGCAAAGCGGCGGAGGACCTGGGGCCGGACCCGCGGGCCTTCCAGGGAGACGCTGAGCAAAGCGGCACATCAGGGAGACGCCGATCCGGAAGTGGCGCCG